TTTCTTCAGGTATAAGGTAGTGAGTTACTGATTCGCACATGGCATTTTATGTCTTTACTAGTGAATTAAGGCTTGAATTGACCTTCATAGAGTGAAATGCTTACACATTCTTTTATGTTCTCAGTCATAAAAGTTTGTAGAGTAATGAAATGGTATTACACATGTGCCAATAGTTACTCTGATGATGTCATATTTATCAACCAAGGAGAAAAGGTGTGAATATTAAATGGGAGATAAAATTGAAAACATGCAAATAAAACAATCTGTAATTTATCACACTTCATTTCTCATACATTTCTTGAAAGGTGATCACTTTCTTACTCTATCAGATGCCATTTAATCTTACTAAAGGATAAGATGAAAACCAGGGCTATATTTATGAAAGAAAAGGATTTAAAGTTTTCATTCAGAAGTAATCATTGAATTTCAGTGTATCATAAAAAATTATTTTCTACTTATTAAAACACCGAGCTCTTAACAAAAGAGAATATTTGAAAGATCATAATTTTGACTCATTTTGGAAAGGAAATTTTCACAAAAGAAAGATGCAAACCGTTTTAGGTACCTGTGGTTAAACTATTTAAACCTTACTCAAATCTCTCTTCTTGACTTTTAACTTGAAATATACCATGGAGATAATTTATTTTCAAATAAATTATTTTACTTTAATAATTACAGTCATGGTTGCTTAATGATGAGGATACATCTTTATCATTTTATAGAATTAGAGCCATAGTTATTTCTCTCTTGAAAATAAAATGGGAACATTAACTTTTAGAAACATATAAGTGACTTAAGGTTCCTCAGGGTATGTGAGGAGTGTGTACATACTTCTAAACAGGTTGAAACTTAGGCTTTTACATAGATGCACATTTCTTAATGACAGGGATATGTTCTCAGAAATGAGTCGGTTAGGTGATTTCATCATTGTGCAAACATCATAGAGTGCACTTACACAAACCTGGATGGTATAGCCTACTATACACCTAGGCTATATGGTATAACCTATTCCTCCTAGCCTACAAACCTATAAAGGATGTTACTGTACTGACTACTATAGGCAATTGTATTAGTAACAGTGGTACATGTTTGTGTATCTAAACATAGAAAAGGTACAGTAAAAATATGATATACAAGATAAAAAATGATATACATGTGTAGGGCACTTACCATGAATGGAGCTTGCAGGACTGGACAATGTTCTTGGTGAGTCAGTAAGTGGTGATTAGTGTACAGTAGACTTTATAAATACTGTACACTTAGGCTACACTAAATTTATATTTTTCTTTCTT